TCTCACCCCCCCCCCCCCCCCCCAATAACTTCATTTAACTTTATTTATTATTATTATTACTTCCAGTTTGAGCAGAAAGAGACAGAGAAAGAGAGAGGGAAAGTGAGAAACCAAGCCACCAGGTCCAAGACTTGAACCACAGTTAGCCATGTGGGAGTCCAACACCTTTAACCACCATACCACCTACCAGCCCCAATCTTCCTTCTACCTTCTTTAATAAACTCTCTGTTTTCAACCCCTCTGGGTGTACACATTTCTAGTTCTTCCTGAGCGTGAAATAAGAATCTGTGTTCCGCTGAGGTGCTGGGCCTGATGGCCCCTGCACATTCCTGCATCAGTATGAGCTGGCCCTGTCCACTGCTTCTCTGGTTGCAAGCTTTGAGAGGACTGGGAGAACTACTTTTCTGAAAGGAAAGACAGAAGGACTACCCCATAGGCAGGGCAGCCCCGAACTTCACTGGGTGTCTGGCTAATCAGGCTTGGCTTAACGCCAGGCTAAGGAAAGGGTGGTTTATTCATGACTTTCTGGGAAGGGGGCAGTGGTTTTCTGGAGCCAGTGTCCCTCCCTTTGTCTGGCCTTGTTGGGGTGGTTCTGATCATTGCCCCGGTTATTCCAAACTGTCATGGTGCAGGTGGGAGTGTCATCTGGGATGCTAATACAGCTCATTGAGGGTTTAATGGGTTTGAAGGTTAGGCAGTAGGTTGTTCTAGGCGCCATCTTGATACTAACTGGTTCAGACCAGGTCTCTCAGTCATTTCTTGTCTCTCAGGTTTTATTGTTTTATTGTAGGTGTTTACAATGTCCCTTGCCTCTGTTAGAATCCTCCTTGCCTCAGTCCCCTCCTGTCTCAGAGCCTGGTTGGAGTATCATGGTGATAGGAAAGAAGCTCTTGACAGAAAGAACCAACTCTGTAAAAATAATAATGTGGTTTATTTCTAAGCAGAATATGAGCAACTTAGGCCTGGAGAGGAGTCAGCCTTTCTCAGGGTGATCAGGTAGAAGGGTTCCTTTTATTTGAATTTTGAGAGCGAGACAAAATTTGGAATTTAGCAGAGTTTTTCCATCGGTCTGGCTCAAAAAGGCAGGACATGTTGGGCAGGGAGGGAGGCTTGTAGGTTATAGGTAGGTTTTAGTTTTTAGGTTGGTGATTGGAAAAGGAAGGTTGCTGAGATCAGAAAAGAATGTACTCTTTTTTTTTTTTTTGAGAGGTTTTTGCTATAGGGCGCGTGCGCTCGCCAGACAGAGAGAGACAAAGCGAGAAATCACCCCCTAGGGGGGATGGTAACGCTGCAATCCCTTCTCCTCCATTCTCCTCTTGGGATCTTAGGCACGCGTGCACACGGCGTGAGTTTTAAGCTGCAATCCCTTCTCCTCCATTCTCCTCTTGGGATCTTAGGCACGCGTGCACACGGCGTGAGTTTTAAGCCACCGGGTCCGGGATGTGAACTGCGGTCGACTACGTGTGGGAGTCCAGCGACATAGCCATTACACTAACTGCTGGTTCCCAGAAAAGAATGTACTCTTAACAGAGATAAGGAGGCTTTAATGTACATTACAAAGATACCATGCCAGGGACAAGATATAGGAAGAATCCTGTTATCAATGGATCAAAATGGTCTGTTAATAACTGCCTCCAGGCCTCTGGAAAGGATTTTGGAAACAGGAAAAGGCAGTCAGATTTCTGTCCTCAAAAGACTTCAGAAGAGCCCTTAGGAGACCAGAAACTCGTTTATACAGGTTGTCCACCCACCGAGGGGACCAGGGGGCGGCAGACAGGAGGGGACTGTGGAGCAGGGTTATATAACGAGGGGGTGTTAGAACTCGATCCTGTGGACAGGAGAGGAATGGGCTCACCTGCAGTCCGTCCAGAGACCCTGGCGGCGATGGCCGAGGAGGAAGGAGTCGGACAGCAGAACATCAGTGCAGGGCTGGCAAGGGCAGGAGAGCCTCTGAGGAGCATGCCATGGCAGGGCTGGGCTTGCACAGAGAGCAGGCGAGACTGACAGGAACTGCTGCCCTGAGGGCTGAGGAGAGGGGTGAGAAGAGCAGAGCAAAGAACCTGCAGGAGCAGCGGGTCCGACCGGAGGAGGAGGTGCTGGACGGGAGCTGTCCAAGTATCATGAAGGTCAGCCAAGAAGCTTTGAGGAGGTCCATACCCCAGCATGGCAGTTCTCAACCCTGTCAGACCCAGTCCTTACTCAGGACAAATGTTTTGTCACATTCTTTCACCATCTTGGTAACATTCTGAGTGATTATAAGCTAACTATACATAGAAGATTTTTTCCTTTCTTTCTTTTGCCAGAGTGTGACTGACAAAGAGACAGAGAAAGAGGGAGAAAGCGTTCCCCCACAGGACACGGTCACACCACGACCGCTTCCCCTTTTCTCCATCCCGATGGGATTTGGGGCATACACACATGCGCACCTGGTGTGTTTTTCAAGCTGAGGGGCCAGGATTCTAACCGTGGTTGGCCACACGAGATCAGGCTCTGTAACCATTAGACTATGGGGCACGCTCAGGTTTGAAAAAACTCAATATGCTGCCCAACCATAAAACAAAAATTCAATATATATGTCACTACGTAAATGTGTATGACTGTTAGAATCCATGAATATAACCAAAGATAGACCCAGGAAGGTGTATTGAATAGGCTACTTAAAAACAGTAAAGCTCCACTAGATTGCTAAATGACTCCCGAGGGGGTTGGTGGTGCTGTCCAGTTAATAAAATGCCTGGGGTTAACCTGCTCTGCTAAGGGGACACTAAGGGTAGGTAGATCCAATCTGCAGGGGTCCCAGATGGAGTATGGCGCCACCTGGTGACAATTTTCTGCTGTGCTTACACAGCCATTGGAACAAAACCAGGTCTTGGATCTGGCTGGGACTTCCAAGACCTTTGTGCAGCAGTGCCCGCAATCTCTGGTTAGCTGGTGCTGTTTCTGGGCTTGATCTGGGGAGATGAGTGGGACCCAGAGGAGCACCCTTCCATCTCCAGGACCGGTTGCCCGGCTTTCCCTGGTAGGGTTCCCCTTCTCTCCAAGCCCCACTCCCAGTGAATCCCAGCTAAAGTGGGAGGTGGGCGGGAGATCTGAATTATTAAATAGGTTTTATTGTACTACAAACAGCTTTGTCATCATTTTAGTTTATTACTATAGGGTGTGTGTGCCTTCAGGAGAGAGACAGAGAAAGTGAGGGAACCCACACACACATACACACACACACACACACACACACTTTCCAGGGAGGATGACTATACCACATTCCCTTCTCCTTCTTTCTTCTCCTGGGATTTTGGGCATGCACCCACAAGGTCCAGTGTGATTTTCAAGTCACCACGTCCAAGACTCAAACTGTGCTGTTGGCCTTATGGGATCCAGCCGTTTTAACCACCATGCCACTGGCTGACCCCTGCAATGTGCAACATATTTACGGGACTCTTCCTGCAGGAGAAGTTACAATGAATAAATAAAATTAAACAATGAAAATGTAAAGATGTTCCAGAAAGATTTATATCAGTCTTCCACACTACATTCTTCAGAATCCTAGTTTCATGAGATGTTTATAGAAGTCTCATAAGGACCTGTGCTCCCAGGTCAGGTGAGCTTTGGCAATGCTGTCTTCTGTCCCTCTCTTGTGGTGACCATGACGATGCTCTGTTCAGATCTCCTAGCTGCAAAGAAGCCCATGGGACCATCAGTTGGTATAATGGCTATGTTGCTGGACTCCCATGTAGTCAACCGCAGTTTGAGTCCCAGACCTGGTGGCTTAAAACTCACGCCAGGCACGTGTGAGTGTGTGCCCAAGATCCCGAGAGGAGAAAGGAGGAGAAGGAATTGTGGCGTGGCCATCCCCCCTGGGGGGTGATTTCTCGCTTTCTGTCTCTCTGTCTCTGTCTGTCTGGTGAGCGCACACGCCATATAGCAAAAACCTCTCCAAAAAAAAAAAAGAGACCCCTGCTGCTGCTCCTCTGGATCCACCACTGCAATCAGTGCTACTGAGTCCACACCCACCATGGCTGCTCCCACTTGTGACTAAGCACATGTGGGTGAGGACCATGGGGGCCCATCCTGAGGAGACAAAGGCTCCTCTAGTGAGCTTGAGAGCTCCTTGGCAGTATGGCTGAAACCTTTCTGGAACTGTGCTGACACTTGAGACTTATTCTGTTCACTCCTTGCTTTCCCATTAGCCAAACCCAGACAAAGCCAGAGGGCAGGGGCTCCTGGTGATCCAGTCCATAGTCTTCTGGGCCAACGGCAGGTTGGAGGGCCATGAGGAGTGGAGTGACCTGGCCTGAAGTGGGTTTGAGAGTAAACAAAAGACTCCCAGTATAGTCCAGAGGACTCAGCGTGGCCTGCTCAGATGGTAACTTTTTTTTCCGTTAAAGGTTAGGAACAGTAAACTCATGATCTTCTCACTCACAAGACTCAGGAAGGTAACCCCCTAGTTGTTTAACTAATTGTGGGTTGGGTTCTCATTGCTTACGGCTGAACAGGAGCCTGACTGACTAGACCCTGAAGCAAGAAGACAACCCGGAAGACACAAAGAAGACCAAAGGACCTAGGGATCTGCCCAGGGAAGAACAGAACAGAACACATTTCAGTCTTTATGAAGAAGGCCAGAAGTTCAGCATTCAAAAATCCATGCATAGGGGCTGGCAGGTGGCGTGGTGGTTAAGGGCGCTGGACTCCCACATGACCGACTGCGGTTTGAGTCTCGGACCTGGTGACTTGCTTTCCTTTCTCACTTTCCCTCTCTCTCTCTCTCACTCTGAGTTCTCTCTCTGGTCAAATTAAAATAAATAAATAAAGTTAAATGAAACAATTCTTTTTAATAGATCCATGCATAGTATTCATAGCTGAATAATTATACTATGCCTAGAATAACCACATTGCAAAATATGTTTAGTTTTCATTTCATTTAGTCCTTTTTTTTTCCCTCTAGGATGCATGTGGTCACTGGAGAGAGACAGAAAGTGAGAAAATATCTGCCGGGGGGTGACCACACCCTGTTTTCCTCTGTTCTCTGCTCAGGATTTTGGGTACATGTGTACATGCACCTGGCATGGTTTTCAAGCTGCTGGTTCCAGGACTTGAACTGTTCAGTTTGACATGTTGGGATCCAGCCACCTTATGACCCCCCTGCTGTCTGCTAGCCCACATTTTCAATAAGCTCTTTTCCTGTGTTCATAACCTTTCAAAGACAAAAACCCCTTTATGTATTGTCATATGAAGATGAATGGATGGGACGTGATCCAGGAGAAAGGACAGGGAGTGAGGTGGACTGGGAGAAAGGAGGAGAGGCTGTTAGGAGAGGAGAGGCCCTGTTAGGTGACCCCTCAGTCTTTAATAGAGTCTAGCAGACTCACAAAATGCTTGGTATTGGTTTCTTTAGATGACAATGAAAGGACACAGTCGGGCTCAGTGTGGTGAGTACAGAACGATGACAGGCAGTGATGCTGGAAACAGAGACGAGCCGATGAGGAATGTTCACCTGCCTCTCCAAAGGGCAAGAGGTCTGAGCTTACGTGGGAGTTAAAAATTATGTTTAAAAAACACACTCATTTGGTTTCTTGGCTCCCAGGAATTCAATTAGAGATTGCTAATTGGATACACAGAGTATTGTTTTAAGAAGGCAAAGGAAATGTGGTGTTTTAGAAAAGTTTCCAAGGAAAAGGTTAAATACTTTCTTTTCCTTTTTTTTTTTTTTTTTTTTTTTGAGTGTACTTGCCAGAGACAGAGGGAAAAAGAGAGAAGGAGAACACATCTCCCACTGGGGTGTGGTCATGCTGCAATTCTTTCTCCTCCATTTTTCCATTTGTCAGGATTTCAGGCAAGCACACACATGCACTAGCTTCAAATCAGTCTGCCATGTGTGATTCTGTTTCCTTAAACAAGTAGGCCAGTGGTCCCCAGTCCCCAATCCACGGACCAGTATCAGTTAGGAACCAGGCCACACAGCAAGAGGTGAGCCAGTAAATCTTTATTTGTATTTACAGCACACATTACTGACTGACCTCCACCTCCTAGTAGATCAGTGGCAGCATTAGACTCTCATAGGAGCACAAACCCTATTGTGACCTGCATGTGTGAAGGATCTAGGTTGCACACTCCTTATGAGAATCTAATGCTTGATGATCTGAGGTAGAGCAGAGGCAGTGATGCTAGCACTGGGGAACAGCTGCAAACACTGATTAATATTAGCAAAGAGGCTTGACTACACAGAGACCATAGTAAATCAATTGCTTGTCAACTCATACTGAAACCCTATCAGTGAGTTGCAAGTGACAATTAAGCTGTGTCTGATGGCAGGCTTTATAGTGGCAAGTGAGTTGACGTACTTCAATACAGCTGCATCTGGTGGAAGGTTTTAAGTTCCTAGTAACAAAAAGGTTGGGGATCACTGCACGACGCTTTTGGGCTGGCCTAATACATGCTTCTAAAAATGCTTAACGTGATAAAATTTAGTTGTCCACTGGAAAAAGAGAGAGAGAGAGTTGGAGAAGTTTGAACACTAGATATTTCATAATATTATGGTATATGGGAAACAGGTTTAGTTTTCCAGGTGAGGACTCTGGAAAGAGCTGGTAAGGGCAATGTCAGGACCCTGCATGTGCTGGCGGTAAAAAAAAAAAAAAAAAAAAAAGGCTCCAATCTTGGCAGAAACTGAGTCCACTAGGTGAGGGGCAGGGAAGTAAGGACATCTGTTCTTGTCACATGAACGTGACTCATCCCAGACAACACCTGCCAAAAGCTGGTCAATGGGGCCACACCCTTTGGCCTTGGTTGGGTTTGGCCAATGGGAAAGCAAGGAGAATTGGGCATGGAGGTGCTGGGCTCCTGCTGATCCATCCTTGCCTTGGGAACATTGTCTTAGAAGTAGGCTGGGCTAAGCCTGTAACCCAAGGCCTCAGTGATGACAGCTGAGAGGAAGAGGCACGTGGGGGTTAACACCTGTAAGAGGAACCTCAGGGGCCATTGCTCCACTGCCTGCTGGGCTTACAATCTCAAGCTTTCCAGGGACCAACAGATGACATAATGGTTACAGTGGCCAATCATGTTTTGAGTCCTTGACTTGGCAGCTTAAAAATCACACTGGAGGGAACCAGCAGTTAGCGTAATGGCTATGTCGCTGGACTCCCACGTAGTCAACCGCGGTTCGCGTCCTAGACCCGGTGGCTTAAAACTCACGCCGGACGCGTGTGCGTGCGTGCCCAAGATCCCAAGAGGAGAATGGAGGAGAAGGGATTGCGGCGTGACCATCCCCCCTGGGGGGTGATTTCTCGCTTTCTGTCTCTATGTCTCTCTCTGTCTGGTGAGAGCACGCGCCCTATAGCGAAAACCTCTCAAAAAAAAAAAACCAAACAAGAGACAAAAAACACCATGTCTCTCACTGGTCCAAGAGATGGAATTGTAAAATGATAAATTAGCTGTGTGATACGCATGATAACATGTATTTCTACTTATTCTCATTTTCTGTGCCCACATATTAAAATTTTTTATTAATTTATTTATTTTACATACTTTCACTGTGTGCCCATATATTTTTAACAAGACAACACTGGGGGGTGATTTCTCACTTTCTGTCTCTATGTCTCTCTCTGTCTGGTGAGCACAAGCGCTCTATAGTGAAAAAAAAAAAACAAAACAAAACAAAAAAAACCTCTCCAGAAAAAAAAAAATCACACTGGACACGTGTGTGCTTACCCAAATCCTGAGAGGAGATGGAGGAAAAGGGATTGCCCCGGGGGGGGGATAATTTCTCACTTTCTGTCTCTCTGGCAAGTGCATGCACCCTATAGCAAAAAAGAAAAAGAAAGAAAGACAGACAGAAAGAAAGAGAAAAGAAAAGAGAAAGAAAAAAAAAAAGAATCATGAGCTTTCCAGAGCCTGAGCCATACTTACAGGGCTTATTATCCACTTCAGCTCTTTCTGCCTTAACTTTTCTCATCTGTAAAGTATGATTAATAATAACATCTCTCTTACACAATTCTGGGAATCTCATTAGGCTGTAGATGTGGAGGTTTTTTTTTTTAAATGCCAAGCATTTTACAAGTGGAATGTCCTGAATATGTGTGTGTGTGACCATCCTACACACTAGTTGCCAAATTCTTCTTGCATCTAGATATGGCCCTTTAATGGCAGTAAGAGGGATGGATGTGAGGGAAATTCTCTTCCTTCTTTGTCCTAGGTACTGGGGTTATAATCTTACAATAAACCATCTATGAGTGTTTCTTTGCATGTCTTGGATACATAGTATGTTCCAGTTCCTATTACAATGATTAACATTCAAAAATAGTGTTTTGTTTGGGCATAATTAAACATTTTAGTGATGTTTCAATAAAATCATCATCTATATCCCCAGTGAAGAGAAAAACTGACTTATTCTTTCTTTCTTTTTTTTTTTTTTTTCTAATTTGCTGCAGGATACATGTACTCGCTGGAGAGAGAGAGATGGAACATGAGAAAACATCGCCTTTGCTGCGATCCCCTCTCCTCCATTCTCCTCTCAAGATTTTGGGCATGTGCACACCTCATATGTTTCTCAAGCTGCTGGGTCCAGAACTCAAACCACATAGTCAGGCCATGTGCAATCCAGCCGCCTTAACTACTGTGCCAACTGGCTGGTCTTGAACTGATGTATTCTAAATCAGGCAGGAATCGGAGATGCAATGAAAGCCAGAACTGCTTTCTCTCAAAGTGTCTCTAGGTTGTTGCATTTTTGGGTGTTTTCATTGAAGTGTAATTGGCTTTAGCCTTAAAACTCTAAATGTTCATTTCCAGTCATGAAGGCTACCAATTTCGGCGGTTGTTTCTCTCTTTTGAAAGCACAACATTGGGTTTCTTGAGGTTGTTTTGTTTCTTCTAAGTCAGTGGCCGGTGGTTGTGAGAGTCCGTTAGTGAATGGCTGGTTCCTCAAGGGTGCAGTCAGAACTGCTCGCCTGTGTAGTTCCCATGCTCCTCGTGTCTCTACTTCCCCTACCTGCTGTCTCATCAGCACTAGTAGAGTCTTAACTGACCTGCTGCTTGTTATTTTTCTTAAGACTCACAAGGGCATTTGTGAAGTTTCAATTTCATTTCCATGACACATTTTAAGTGGATCTGTTTTGGTATTATTCCTTGAGGACATTTTCTTTTTTCTCTGAATTCCATTGCAGATACTTTAACATGGATTTTTATATTGTTTTGAGATTGTTTTTGCAAATGTCATGTCCTGGTGGGCCTTAATTGACTCTGGGTAACAATGTTTTTTTTTTTTTTTCTTTTAACTGGTGTGTTTATTGGCCATTAAAAGCTTTACCAATCCCCTGTGTGTTGTAATTTTCATCTAAGAAATAGTCTCCTGGAACTCAATTTCAGTGATAAGTCCAATGTCTTAGTCTGTTACTGTGTTGCTAACAGAAATACCTGAGACTGGCTGATGTAAGTTTATTTAGCTTACAATTCTGATGGCTAGAAAGTCCAAAGGTGTGGAGCTGGCATTAGGCCTGGCACTGGTCCTACATCACATGGCTCACAGAGATAGAAAGGATGGCAGGTGTGTGCAGAACGAGAGAGACCTGGGGGCAGCCATCTTTCTTTCACTATAACCTGCTTTCACAGGAACTAACCCCTTTCCACAAGAGCTAGAATTTACTCTTCCTCGTAAAACAATGTTAATCCACTCATGAGGCTAACGTGTCCATGTTCCAAACACTGCCCAGTAGACCTTGCCTCTTAAAGGTCTCATCACCTCCCACCACTTACACTGGGAATCAAATTCTAAAGAATGAACCTTTGGAGGACAAACCATTGTCTAAATCATAACTCTTCCTAAAGGCAGGTAACTTGTCCATCCATCTTGCTTTCTCTAATATACTCAGCATGAAGCATAGTTTTTTGCATTTAGCAAGAACTTGATAAATACTTATTGAATTGTCCCAATAAATATTCTCAACTCATCTACAGGTTGGCCAGAGCTCCTGCCCATCCTCAATACACAAAGACACCATGTCTTCCAATTTGCTTTCATTAGGTGGGAAGAGCCAAACCAATCAGGACTCTCAGTGATAGGCGGGCACCTTCTTCCCTACTAGAAGCCATGTCTTCATTAGCAGCCAAAGTCTGTATGGGCCAGGGTGGACCTTTATAACTTTTATACTAACACAGGGAATATGGAGATGAAAACTCAATTTCTTGTTTGAGGTAAGTGGGACAACACAAAGATATCTCCCAGTTGACACCATCATTCTTAGGATTCCTTTCAGCAGCCCTCTCCCTATTCCTCCTACCCCTTTGAAAAAGAAAACAGGTTCTCCCCAAGGCCCTTTCCCCTAGACTTGCTCACTTTGCTTTGCTTGGCTGATTTGGGGCTTCACTGAGTCAAGAGTAACTTTTTCTCACTTACTCTCCCAAGAAGGGAGTTCCTTCTTCAGCCTGGAGCCTTTCTATAGCACACCCTACAATTATTAGGGACTCACTTGGAGGTTTATTGGTGGAAGTACAGAAATGCTTTGTTGAAACACCATCTTGCCTCTCCATGGTCACTCGGTAAAACAGCATTACAGGAGGCTGCAGCACGTGCACAAGAGCAGGGAAGATCACCCCATTCTGGTCAGGTGTCAGGGTCCCAGAAAGTTCTGCCCTAGGGAACTGGCAGCTGGAACCTGCAGGAAGTTCTTATCGAAGTCCTCTTGTTCCCAGAGGCTGTGACTCAAGGCGGCTCTCATGGGTATATTCACATTGGTTGGAGACGCCACCAGGGAGGGTGTCTTGTCGCTGCTGGAGGCGCCTATTTCAATGGCAGGGTCGTTTCTGTTGGAGCCCAGGAATTTCAGTGCCATGGAAAGCAACAGAAGAAAAAGAAAACATTTTTAAATTCTAATTTAAAAACCATTTTCTATTTATCTTTTACAACATAAGTACCTGGACCACAGATGAAAATAAGGAAATGAAGGCAGGGACAATACAGCATATATGGTATAATGTATCTAAGAGCGATTAAAAAGAGGAAGCTGGGCCAGGTGGTGTGGTGGTTAAGGTGGCTAGATCCCACATAGCCAAGTGCATGGTTTAAATCCCAGACCTGGGGGCTTGAAAAACATGCCAGGAGCATGCATGTGTGCAAAAAGAAAAAGAGAGAAAGGGAAAGCTGAGGAAGAAGGAGGCTGAGCTCAGGCCTACCCCACTGAAGAGGATCACATGACCCTGCACACCTTAAGCATCACTTTGATATGCTGAGAACCTAAGGTACCAGGACTCACAGGCAACATCTGAACCCACTGAGGACTGTCTGATGCCCACACTATTGTACCAGGTTGCAGTATCAACCTAACTGCAAAGAAAATCTTAAAGCAGTTATTTAAAACAATAAAAACTTCTTTTTAAAGTTTTTGCTGTAGGGTTTGCACACTCACCAGAGCAGGTGATTTCTCACTTTCTGTCTCTCTGTCTTTCTCTGTGTCTCCGGTGAGCGCACATGCCCTATAGCAAAAATCTCTCTAGGAAAAGAAAAGGAAAAAAAAAAAGTACTAGCATCTCACCCCAGGGATTCTTGTAACCTGGGAATGGAGATAGTCAGTAGCTAACTCCTGTGCTGGCTATATTAGCTCGCACTTTTTAAAATTAATTTACTCATCCTTTTACTGAGCACTCAGCCCATGAACACACTGGGGTTTGCCTGGGGAATGACTATTCAGATCAAAGAGCCACAGACCCTGTTTCCAAGGACAAGCGTACCATAAAGTTGAGAGGGGAAAGTCATGCCTGTGATTATCTAGAATCAAAAGAAGAAACCGAGATAGGCCGTAAGAGGGTGCCACTGACCCCACGCGCTGGAGACAGAGGGCTGGAGCTGAGTGCAGGGACCACCTACCTGTCTGCTGTGAGCTGGGACCTTCGTGTGAGTTCTGAGAAGCTGCCACTGGTCTGCTCGGCTGCCAACAGCATGAGGGTTTCGCTGGACTGGAGGGATGACGGAAGGCTGATTTTAGGCTGTAGGGAGACAAGATGGCCAGGGTTGCTCACTGCGAGTTCTTGGGCAGAACCGTGAAGGAACTCGTGGGATTGCCCCTGAGTTTCACAGCCTAGCCTGGGGACATTTAAAGCTAGCCTAGCCTAGCCTTAGTTTCTTAAGCATCAAGTCCCAGGGTCATCAGGCCAGAAACCAGGTTCCTGGCAGGATCGCACCCTCTCTCCAGTGGGCTGTTCAGAGCATAGATTCGTAAGAGTCAGAGCAGCTAGACTGTAAAACAGCGGCCTCCTGAAGTCGGTGATCAGGTACCTAATGCACACAACTTACCTGAGAGGAAGGAAGTGTTTAGATTCAGAAATCTGAAGGATTGGGTAACCCATTCTATCAAGCTTTCTCTCTTGGGCTCCTACACCAGGTGGGTCTTGGAAAGGCCTATGTGTGTCAGAAGACACCCTAAATAAACCGAAGCAGAGGAACAACTATTCCTTGAGGAAATAGCTATAAAACATGTGATTAAAGGGTTAAAAACCTTATCTTTAAGTTAGAAAAACACAAGACTATCAATAGAAAAATGGCCAGAAAACACAATTGACAATGCCCCTCCCCCCAAAAAAATACATGTGTAAATATAAGGGTACTTTGAAAGGTTCATGGCAAAATGAATTTAAAGTACAAGTTTATTTTGGTGCAAAATAAAAATTTAATCTATGTATACTTTTTTTTGAGAGTTTTTTGCTATAGAGCATGTGCGCTCGCCAGAAAGATAGAGACAGAGAGACAGAAAGCGAGAAATCACTCCCCAGGGAGCATGGCCATGCTGCAATCCCTTCTCCTCCATTCTCCTCTTGGGATCTTTGGCACACACGCACATGTGCCCGGTGTGAATTAAAGCCACAGGGTCCAGGACTCGAACCGCAGTTGACTACATGGGAGTCCAGCAACATAGCATTATGCTAACTGCTGGTCCCTATGTACACATTTTTTTAATAATATAGATTTTCCATGAATTTCTTTGGAAACTTCTCATATATAACAATGTTCAAATCCATTAAATATCAAAGAGATGCCATATTTTTATTTATCATATGAGAAAATTTATTAAAATGGGCCAGCCTGTGGAAAGATGAGGTGGCTAGATTCCACACGGCCAACTGCATGGTTGAGTCCCAGATCCAGTGGTTTAAAAATCATACTGGGTTTGAGTCAACAGGTGGCGTGGTGGTTGAGGCACTGGACTCCCGCATGGCTGGCTGTAGTTCAAGTCCCAGACTATTCCCAATATCCCAAAAAGAGAAATGGATGAGAAGGAATTACAGTGTGGCCATCCCCCATGGTGGGGGCAGGGTGCTATCTCACTGTCCCCATCTCTCACTCATGCCCTCTGGCAAATTAAAAAAAGAAGAAAAAATGCCTATGATATAATTTTAAGTGAAAAAAGCAAAATAGGGACCAGTAGGTGGCATAATGGTTACATCACTAGACTCCCATGTAGTCAGCCGGTTTGAGTCTTAGACCCAGCAGCTTAAAATCCACATCAGGCACGTGTGCATGCCTTCCCAAAATCATGAGAGGAGAATGGAGGAAAAGGGGTTGTGGTATGGCCATCCCCCCTGGGGAGTGATTTCTTGTTTTCTGTCTGAGCATGCCCTGTAAAAAAATAAAAAAACCTCTCAAAAACAAAAACAAAAAAAAAGAAGAAAAAATATATTTATATTTATATATGTACACATACTTATAAATGGGGGGGCTTCAAAAAGTTCATGGAAAATATGTATCATAAAACAACTACACATGGATTTCAAGCTTTTTGGCAGCAAAATAAATTCTTACTTTAAGTCCATTTATGCATAAAGGTTTTGAAGCCCCTTTGTGTGCATATGCATGCATGTGTGTGTATGTATGTGTGTATTATATGTGTGTGTATGTATGTGTGTATTATATGTGTGTGTGTGTGTACATACTTCTGCATTGGTCTTGGAGGGAAAGCCCCACTTACTGTGGTTTCGGTGGAGCTGCAGGGCATCTTAGGTACCAGACAGTGAGTGAACTGGATTCTCGGGTCTTTGGTGGTGATGGACAGACCTTTCTGCAGGATTTTCACCAGGCGGATCCAGAACTGAAACACGGCCTCTGGGTGCTTTTCGTGGAGCCTCAGGTAGTAGATCTTCTCAGTCACTGTCCTCACCCTCAGGATGCGTTGGGGCTGATCATAGATTTGTAGTTCCACATACTTTAGGGGGAGAATCCTAGGTGCAATCAGGAAATTCCCAGGGTGGAGCCCGTGAAGTCCATGATGTTAGCCCACCGTGCCAGTGCCTACCTAGTGCCTGGCTCACCTCCGCTAGCCGGGGGATGCCGAGGGCGAAAAGCTCATGTTCTGAGAGTGAAAGTGATCATACAAGACTGACTCCTCTCTGATTTCTAGGGGTTTGGTTATTACCGAGTCTGCCTGCATTGATAACAGTGGCTGATATTGATCCGCAATATTTCATTCCATGACAATTGTTTGTTTCTTTTTTCCATTTTTAAAATTTTTATTTATTTATTTATTTTAGTTTTGCTATAAGGCACATGAGCTCACCAGAGAGAAACAGAGAGGTAAAGTGAGAAATCACCCCCCAGGGGGGATGGTCATCCCACAATTCTCCTTCCTTCTCCTCTCAGAATTGTGGGCACATATGCACATATACCCAGTGTGTTTTTCAAATTGCAGGTTCAGGACTCGAACTGCGCAGCTGGCCATATGGGATGGAGCACCTTAGCCACTGTGTCATCTGCTGGCCCCACAACAACCTTCTGATGAAGGAAAGTTAAGTATGATTAATTCCACTTTACAGATTTTTTTGTTCACTTTACAGATTTTACAAGTGAGATTCGGGGAACATAAATGATCTGCCCAAGTTTGGCTCTTATTCAGCAAAAAGGAACTAGGGTTTCCTGACTGGTTCCAGGTCTCCTCCCTCTCGCCTGGTGAATTGTGTTAAAAGAGTGAGGAGACAGATGGACGTCTCCTAAACAGCAAGGACTTTTTCAGTCTCTATGACACCTCATAGTCCTAGCTGACTTTCACATTCCCACCTTTTCTCTGGAAACCCCATATCTACATTAACAAAACAAAAGTAAAGAAAACGAAGCCAAGACCCTCAAAAATTAAGCTAGAGACAAGAACCACACACTGGTTCTCCATCTCTAGCACCAAGCACAGGGCTTGGTACATATAGATAACTAAGTAAATATTCATTAAAGAATGCATGAATTCTACATAGTTTATGTACCAGTGAACACGATCCTTTCTTTAGATCTAAAATCCAGCTGCAAGACACTGCATATACCTGTCAATCATGCCACCCGTCAGACCCTTGGCTTTCTTTACCTTCTGAGGGTGATGAGCGGGGCATCAGCAGGTGTGCTCCAGGTGGAAAACTGACCTTGAGGCCAGGTGACATTGGCCATCAGGAGGACATTGGGAAGTGGCAAGGAGGGTACCGAGGAGGTCACTCCAAGGATCACGGTGGTAGAGCCTTCGTAGACATCCATCCAGTTCCCCAGTTTAGTGACCTAGAAATCAGCCCCAGGTACACAGGTCAGGAAGGAGCAGAGACAGAGCGGGAGGATACAGGTGCTAGAGAGAGGCACTTCATCCTGGCAACAGGTGTGTGGCACGCTGGGCTGGGCCTTGACCTGATATCAACCCTTTTTTGTTGTAAAGTCTCCAAAGAGACTTTACTCTCAACAACAGGAATTCTGTACTGTACTGCTTTCTGTCCCCTGCATTATTGAACTAAAAAAAGCTGCACTGGTGAGAAAAAGCTGAATGGCACTGAACTTTTTTTCTTTTCCTTCTTTATTTCATGAGAGAGAGAGAGAAGTAGTACCCCTAACAGGGTCTTTCACACCATGATCTGCCCCCAGCTTCAGCTGGCCCTGGATCTTGGGCACACACATACCCAGTGTAGTCAAGGAAGTCACTGGGTGTGAACTTAGAACCTTCGGATGTGGATCAGCCTCTCAGAACACTGCGTTATTGCTGTGCCACTGTCTGGCCCCCCCATTGAAATTGTTATTCCATTTCACTTGGGCAGAAGAAGCCAACCATGGTTTCTAATGGCCAGGAGGGAATATTGTGTAAAGAAAGCCCAGAAAGGGAGTAGAGTGAGGAAAGAGCTGTCGAGTTAGAAGACTTCAGACAGCCCCGGTTGAAGCGGTTTAGGGAGCTTCCTTCAGGATGATGAAGGGCCCACCTTGTTGCTAGGTCTTAGGTATAATAAAGATCTGGTCTCTTGAAGCACCTGGGGGCTGTGGCAAGAAAGGGAGATTGGACACATAGCCCTGGGGCACGGTGACCCAACTCAAACTGCCCCACTTCATTGTCCAGGACTGTGGCCACTATGGAGTCACAGGGGCCAGGGTAAGAAACACGTGAGGAAGGGGACCAGCAGTTGGTATAATGGCTATGTCCCTGGACTCCCATGTAGTTGACCATGGTTCAAGTCCTGGACCCAGTGGCTTAAACTCACACTGGGTGTGTGTGCGTGTGTGTTCAAGATCCTGAGAGGAGAATGGAGGAGAAGGGATTGCAGTGTGGCCATCCTCCCTGGGGAGTGATTTCTTACTTTCTGTCTGTCTCTCTCTGTCTTTCTGGCAAATGCACGTGCCCCCTATAGCAAAAACCTCTAAAAAAAAAAAAAAGAAGAAGAAGAAGAAGAATAGCACTAGTATCAGACCAAAGAGAACTTACCACGAGAACAGATCTACTACCAGAACATCACACCCAAATCAAAGTGACTAGAGATTGGAATCTAGATTTTGGATTGAGTCTGGATTTTACACGTTACTGATCCTCCACTGGGAATGTATTAGGAATATGCTAGTCCCCGGGGTTGCAAGTTGATTGTCAACTATACAACCCCTTGGAGCAACACAGGGACCATGGAGTGCCAGGAGCATCTTTGAGGTCTAAGCATGTGAACCAACTGTCTTGAGGTGGCAGGAGGCTCAGGAGTGTGTAGGGGTTTTGACACTACAGAGTGGAAGGTTACAGTGGCATTGCTTACAGCACGGAGATCTTGCACTGGCCAGTAATCTCCTCCAGGCTTTTCTGATTGGCAATAGTGGAGTGTTCCAGGGAGATTGACATCCAACCAGAATTCCAACTTCTTTGAAGAGTTCAATGTGTCCTTGGATGCCCCATCATGTGTCTCGTTGTACTGAGTATTGCCTCTGCCTCACTAGGGTGACACCAGGTCTCAGGTCAGTGATAATCAGGGCATGGTTCTTTGCCATCCTCCGCCCAGACTGTTGGGAATTCCACCCATAGGTTCGGAGGGTTGGTATATTCCTGCTCAGAAGTAGAGAGGTGGCACTCTTCTTGGTACCATTACTACCATTATCAGGACTCTGCCACGTCCCAGAGTAAAATTGGCTGATCCACCCAGAGTGAAAGTGATCCATGGCCATCAGTTCAATTTCCTGTCAAGTATCAGCTCCTTCTTGCCTCCAACATATCCTCCAGAAGCACCAAAGCTCTTTGTGGATGTTCCATCAGAACTTCCACATCCTTGGGGTCCAGATGAAAGTAATCTACCACACATCGGTCTGTAGAGCCTAGGGCCCCGATGTGGGGAGCTTCATCCAGATACTGGTATGCTTTGCACTTCTTCTTGAGGGGAATCACTTCAGGAGGGTGAACAATAGACCCCTCCATGCTATATATTCCTTCCACATGGATTATTGATGTGTTTGAAGACCCTAGTGGTTGCTCCTGACCATCTGGTTCCTAGACCTAGCGACACATGGTTCAGTTCCTGATATGATCCAGCAGAATTTGAACAACCAGTTATAGTCTCCATGATGTCCACCTTGGCCCCAGGCATGCTACACATTGGGCCATTCCAGTTGTGTTGTGTCCAACGAGAGAAAAAAGTTTACAAACACACGTCTAGAACTGGCAGAAAGGCCTGGTGGCCTGGGAGCTGGGGTCATTGGTTGGCTCCCTACCTTTATTTCAACTATGGGTTCTCAGGGACCTAGGAGTAAGGCGGACAATTTGTCTGAATCTGTGTTTAACACATCCGGAAGGGCAGAGCCCAGTCTGCAGATTTTACAAAAGCATCAACTTTTACGTGTTAACAGAATTACACATATTTATATTGATCAGAATTTTCAGGGTTTTTTTTTTTAGCATATATCAAAAGCTTAAGAACCTGTACAAACGCCAGCTTGTTTACATATTCCCAAATACACAGACCAACTCAATATCTTTCATTCCTATAACATCTAAAGACCAGCAATCAAAGCATGTTAACTTAATCATGAAGCCTCTCAGAAAGACTCAGGAAGAACCAGGTGGCACTGCTTTCCATGGGTCCATGCTTAACACTGGGTTTACATCATTTTATTCAGATTTTAACAATTTACTTTTGATCTCAGACAGTGGCCAGGAAGTAACAATTTTGGTATAGGTTACCTAGCACGCAATTTCTGTCAAGCATTTTCTTGTGTTTGGTTTGGCTTAGTAGTTCAGAAAGCCAATCAGTTTCTCTACAGAAAATGGAAATTTGTCAGTCAGAAAAAACAATCGGTTTCTCCATGCCCAGTTAGGTGATCAGATCATCAGTTAGAAAACCAATCAGTTTCTTCATAGAAAGTGGAAATTTTTACCCGGTTAAATAATCAGATTATCAGAAACTTTCACTTGTAAGAGCACATCCTTTTAACATGTTAGGATTATAAGAGCCAAATTTCTGGGTTTCCTTTGATATCATATTCTCCAGAGAACCCATTCTTGAAGCTTTTCATCATAACCAGAATGAGAAGGGTTCTCACTGGAGCCAATTCTCTTCCCTGAGGCAGAAGGGACAAGCCTTGAGCCCACAGATTGGGACAGAAATAAATCAGCTGTGGGACCAGCAGTTAGCATAATGGTTATGTTGCTGGACTCCCATGTAGTTGACCGTGGTTCGAGTCCTGGACCTGGTGGCTTAAACTCACACCGGGTGTGTGTGCGTGCGTTCCCAAGATCCCGAGAGGAGAATGGAGGAGAAGGGATTGAGGCGTGGCCATCCCCCCGGGGGGTGATTTTTTGCTTTCTGTCTGTCTCTTTCTGTCTGGCTGGCGAGCACATGCACCCTATAGCAAACACCTCTCCAAAAAGAAAAAAAAAAAACCTACCTTTATTTCAACTATGGGTTCTCAGGGACCTAGGAGTAAGGCGGACAATTTGTCTGAATCTGTGTTTAACACATCCGGAAGGGCAGAGCCCAGTCTGCAGATTTTACAAAAGCATCAACTTTTACGTGTTAACAGAATTACACATATTTATATTGATCAGAATTTTCAGGGTTTTTTTTTTTAGCATATATCAAAAGCTTAAGAACCTGTACAAACGCCAGCTTGTTTACATATTCCCAAATACACAGACCAACTCAATATCTTTCATTCCTATAACATCTAAAGACCAGCAATCAAAGCATGTTAACTTAATCATGAAGCCTCTCAGAAAGACTCAGGAAGAACCAGGTGGCACTGCTTTCCATGGGTCCATGCTTAACACTGGGTTTACATCATTTTATTCAGATTTTAACAATTTACTTTTGATCTCAGACAGTGGCCAGGAAGTAACAATTTTGGTATAGGTTACCTAGCACGCAATTTCTGTCAAGCATTTTCTTGTGTTTGGTTTGGCTTAGTAGTTCAGAAAGCCAATCAGTTTCTCTACAGAAAATGGAAATTTGTCAGTCAGAAAAAACAATCGGTTTCTCCATGCCCAGTTAGGTGATCAGATCATCAGTTAGAAAACCAATCAGTTTCTTCATAGAAAGTGGAAATTTTTACCCGGTTAAATAATCAGATTATCAGAAACTTTCACTTGTAAGAGCACATCCTTTTAACATGTTAGGATTATAAGAGCCAAATTTCTGGGTTTCCTTTGATATCATATTCTCCAGAGAACCCATTCTTGAAGCTTTTCATCATAACCAGAATGAGAAGGGTTCTCACTGGAGCCAATTCTCTTCCCTGAGGCAGAAGGGACAAGCCTTGAGCCCACAGATTGGGACAGAAATAAATCAGCTGTGGGACCAGCAGTTAGCATAATGGTTATGTTGCTGGACTCCCATGTAGTTGACCGTGGTTCGAGTCCTGGACCTGGTGGCTTAAACTCACACCGGGTGTGTGTGCGTGCGTTCCCAAGATCCCGAGAGGAGAATGGAGGAGAAGGGATTGAGGCGTGGCCATCCCCCCGGGGGGTGATTTTTTGCTTTCTGTCTGTCTCTTTCTGTCTGGCTGGCGAGCACATGCACCCTATAGCAAACACCTCTCCAAAAAGAAAAAAAAAAAAGAAAGAAAGAAATCAGCTGAGAGTTTGGGGGGTACAGGGTCTTTTTGGACATGTGGAGAAATCTCCCTCCCAGCATATTCCTCCCTGCAACAGAGACACAAGACAAACACAGAATGTGCATCCCCTCGGAGAGGTGACCAATCAGATGTCTGCCTGGCCACATCTCTTGCAGGAACTATAGGCGTCTCTCTGCTTTTGGACAGTCTGTACTAGCCCCCTCCCAGACTCAGTGCACAGGGAGGGACCAGATCTCCCAGGGTCAGGCATTGCCCTGGTGAGGATGCACTCAGATGCTGTAGTCTGAAGATCGTGGGGGTCACAGAAACTGACACACACATTCACCCAGTACAGTGCCCTCCCCACTTTGGTAAAGTCCCCACCTGGTGGCTCCAACAGGAGACCACAGCGACCTAAACTGGCAGCCCCAGCAGGGGACCACACAGCCACCCAAGCTGGTGGCTCTGGCAGGGAACCGTGCAGCGACCCAAGCAAGCGGCCCCAGCAGGCGACCAGCACAGTGAGCTGAACCCAAAACTGGTGGCTCCAACAGAAGACCATAGGAGGCAATCAGGGCTCCCCTTCCACTCAGATGGGGTGGGCCTGACTGGGTTCCTAAGTCCCTGGACTTTACTGTGTCTCAAGGCTTTGGCCTGTGCCTAGACCTGATGTTTTCAGGCTGTGAGTTGGCCCATTTCTCTATCAAGTCCAGTGGGGGCTGGTCACCTACAGGGCATGCATGAATGAGGGCTGGAGAAAACAATTCTGGCGCCCCTTAGCCCCTGCAGGCTCTTCCCACTGAACTGGTGGCTCAAGGGGTCAGCACGGTTGATTTCCCAGTGAGGGAACCAGAAAAGTTGCAGAAACAGACTGCCGAGAAACCAAGCATCACTGAGAGAGTAGGAAAACTTGGGTTTATGATGCTGGTGGTCCCAGAGGAGCTCATGCTCCAAGGTCTGGCCACAGACTTAGCAACTGGCTACTTAGTAGTTCAGGGGTTATGTAGCCGTAAAACAGTCGCAAAACGGCTGCAACCCAGCTTGTAACCGTTCCCATAGGCACTTCACAAAGGTGAAACAGAAACTTCCTGCTAAGTAGCTTTTAGCAAATATCCATATCAGAAAGGGAAGGACAGTGGCCAGCACCTGCTGTTGTGGTTGAGGTGCTGGACACTCCCGTATGGACGACCATAGATCAAGTCCTGGACCTGGTGGCTAGCTTTCTCACTTTCTCCCTCTCTGTTTCTCTCTGTGGTCAAATAAAATAATAATAATAATAATAGAATTTTAAAAAGAAAATTAAAAAAAAGGCAAGGATGGCTAGTCCCGAGTGACACAAAGGTACCTGAATAAAGTTGCTTTCAAATACCACTGAGTCGGAGAACAAGTTGAATTCTGGAGAATGAATCAGTTGACAAAGAAGGCCATCTTCCACCCCTAGTTCCACTCCAGGGCCTGGTTCCCTGACCTCAGGTGGGAGGCCCCGAAATTTACTCATTGGTTCTTGGGAAGCATGGGCTGGAGAACATCTCTGGGGCACCACGCAGACCCAGCCCAACTCCAAGGTGTTTGTGTGCCCACTGCTCCCCCACCTCCACAGCTCTGACACCCCCACCCGACTTACAGGCTATTCACCAGGGCTGGGAGGGCCTGTCAGCTCACAATGGCAGGAATGACATCAAGGAATGTGACAGGTAACAACCGCAAAGGAAAAAAGAAGACAAGGCTGGTGGGTGTGCAGGGCTCTTTTCTCCCTCTTTCTATGAGCTAGAAACCAGCAGCAAAGTGGCCTAACTATTTTTCAGACGTTCGGTCTTTCTCCACATAGGAAAGGAGCCTTTCCAGGGTTACGCCGGGACAGCAGTGAGCTGGCCAGAACAGCACAGAAGGTGCTAGCGTTTGTGTCCTCCCAAATTCAAGTGTCAAGATTTGGTTATGAAGGTATTGAGAGGAAATTTAATACCCCATGGAGTCAAATGATGTCTAAAGGTGGGGACTTTGGGAACAGATTAGGATTAAGGTCATCTGGATGACACCATTGTCATTGAGCTCTGTGGTTTTTTTTTTTTTTTTCTTTTTTAAATTTGCCAGAGGGTAGGTACACTTACCAGAGAAAGAGAGAGACAGACAGAGAACTCGGGAGAGGGAGAAAGCAGCCCACAATGGGGCATGGTCACGCCCCAATTCCTTTTCTCCATTTCCCCATCTTGTCAGGATTGGAGGCATACATGCACATGCGGCTGGTGGGTTTTTCACATTGTCAGGACCAGGACTGAAACTGCATGGTTGGCCATGTGGGAGCTAGCTTCCTTAACCACCAGGCCACAGAGATGGCCCATGTTCTGGTGTGTTTTATTTTGTTTTTGTACTTTATGATTTGCTATAGGGTATATACACCTGCTCACCAGAGATGGAGAACAAACGCACACCTCAGTAGGGGATGGCCACACCACAATCCCTTCTCCATTTCTCCATCTTTTCAGGACTTGGGGCATGCGCAGGTGCCCAGGTTGTTTTTCAAGCTGCCAGGTCTGGAACTCGAACAGTGCTGTCAGCCATGTGGAATCCAGCCTCCTTACACACCACGCCACCAGATGGCCCTCTGTGGGTGTAAGACAGAAACAGAGAGACTCAGACACAGCTGCTCTGCCAGCTTGTGCCCTCCTGATGGGATTAGGACTCTGCAAGAAACGCACAGACAAGGCCCTTGGAACTTGGGCTCCCCTAAACTGTGACCAGAAGAAATCTTTCTTCTTCTTTTTTTTTTTTTTTTTTTTGCTACAGGGCATATGCACTCACCAGAGAGATGGAGACAGATTGTGGTGTGATGAATCCCCCTGGGGTTGATTTCTCACTTTCAGTCTCTCTGTGTCTCCAGGAAGCGCATTGGCCCTATAGCAAAGATAAACAAACAAATAAACAAACAAAGGCTGTTAACAAAACAAAGAGGCTTATCTGTTTGGAAACAGTTGGCAAAGAGGAAGCAGAGGTGCAATGGTACTCTGGAGCCCCTTAGGAGCCTCTTTTGAAAATTTTAGGAATTTTGCCCGTCAGTAATTAAAGAGTCATTAAAAATTAAATTATATAGGGCCCGTCGGGTGGTGTGGCGGTTAAGGTGGCTGGATCCCACATAACTGACTGCACAGTTTGAGTCCTGAACCTGGCAGTCTGAAAAACACACCAGGCCCATGTATGTGCATGCCTAAAATCCGGCCAGAATGGAGAAGGGATTTCAGTGTGGCCATCCTCCCTAGGGGGTTCTTTCTCTCTCTCTGTCTCTCTAGTGAGCACACGTCCCAACCCTGGTGGCTTGAAAAACACACCAGGTACGTGTGCATGTGTACCCCAAATCCTGATGGGATACAGAAATAAAGGAAAAGATAGTGGTGTGATCATTGCCCCATTAAGAAGTGCTTTCTTGGGACCAGCAGTTAGTGTAATGGCTATGTCACTGGACTCCCACGTAGTTGACTGCAGTTCGCGTCCCGGACCCGGTGGCTTAAAACTCACGCTGGGTGCGTGTGCGTGCGTGCCCAAGATCCTGAGGGGAGAACGGAGAAGGGATTGCAGCGTAGCCATCCCCCCAGGGGGATGATTTCTCGCTTTCTGTTTCTCTGTCTCTCTCTGTCTGGCAAGCGCACACGCCCTATAGTGAAAACCTCTCTAAAAAAAAAGAAAGAAAGAAGTGCTTTCTTTTCCTGTCTCTGTCTGTGTCTCTGGTGAGCACATGTGCTCAATTAAAAAACAAAGGCTGGGACCATTAGGTGGTAGAGTGGTTAAGGTGTTGGATTCCCAAATAGTTGACTGCAGTTCAAGTCCTAGACCTGGTAGCTTGAAAATCATGCCAGGCGCAAAATCCCAGGAGGAGAGTGGAGAAGTGATTTTAGCCGTCCCCTGGGGGGGGGGGTTGATTTCTTACCACCACACCCCTCTGGGAAAGCCCATTAGCCTTATGGCCTAAACCTAAAAAAAAGAAAAAGAAAAAAACAAAGGCTGGGGCCAGCTGGTGACCTAGTAGTTGTAGTTAAGGTGTTGGACTCCCACATGGTCAACCATGGTTTGAATCCTGGACCTGGTGGCTTGAAAATCACTCTGGGTGTGGGACCCAGCAGTTAGCGTAATGGCTATGTCGCTGGACTCCCACGTAGTCGACCGCGGTTCGCATCCCAGACCCAGTGGCTTAAAACTCATGCCGGGCGCATGTGTGTGCATGCCCAAGATCCCGAGAGGAGAATGGAGGAGAAGGGATTGCGGCGTGACCATCCGCCCTGGGGGGTGATTTCTCGCTTTCTGTCTTTATGTCTCTCTCTGTCTGGTGAGCGCACGCGCCCTATAGTGAAAACCTCTCCAAGAAAAAAAAAAAAAAAAGAAAGAAAATCACTCTGGGTGTGTGTATGCACGTGTGCTCCAAATTCCAAGAGAATGGAGAAGGGATTGTGGTGTGGCCAATCCCCTTCGGGGGTGATTTCTCGCTTTCCCTCTGTCTCTCTTCAGACGCACATACCCTATTGCAAAAAGCTTAAAAAAAAAAAAAAAAAGAAAAAGAAAAGAAAAGGCAGGGCATGGCTGTGTGCATCTGTGGTCCCAGTTACTCACGAGGCTGAGGAAGGAAGAAATGACATAGTGAGAACCTGTCAGAAAACAAACACACTAGGACCAGCAGATGGTGTAATGGTTATGTTGCTGGATTCCCACATAGGTGACCGTGGTTCGAGTCCTGGACCCAGCAGCTTCAAACTCATACTGGGCACTGTGTGTGCATGCCCAAGATCCTGAGAGAAAAGTGGAGGAGAGACTGCAGTGAGGCTACCCCCCATGGAGTGGGGGGTGATTTCTCACTTTCTGTCTCTCTGTCTCTTTGTCAAGTGCACGTGCCCTATAGCAAAAATCTTTCTCTAAAAACAAATACACACACCAAAAAAAAACACACATACACACCAAAGAAAGGAAGAACTGCTTAAGGTGGAAAAAAGCTCATTACTAACATGCTTTGTTACATTGCATTTCAAAGAGTTCTAGAAGAGGAGAAAGCATGATGTAGGGTAGAGCTCCGCACTGGGAAGTGAGCACCAGTGAACTCCGCAACACCAGCTCACTTAGTTTCCTGACTCCTCTACAGTAAGATGAGAACACTGGGCTGACCCGCATTGTCCCACACAGTAGCCACTACCCCCCACAGGACTGATGAGCGCTCCGAATGTGGCTAAAGTGGGTGGAGCATGTGGCCAGCAGAAACCACCCACCTCTGTAGATACAGCCGCACGCCTCATCCCCACTCTTCGGTCAACCACGGACCACACAGTGGATGATAGCAGCCCCATATAATTATAATGGAGCTGAAAAACCCCTATCACCTAGCGCTATAGCCATTGGACTGTTGTGTTTGTGTGATGTAGGTGTAAACAAAACTACTGTGTGCCATTCATATAAAGGTATAGCACAGGGGGGCCGGCAAGTGGCATAGGGGTTAAGGGTGCTGTCCCATATGGCTAACCGCAGTTCAGGTCCTGGACCTAGTGGCTTGCTTTCTCACTTTCTTTTTCTCTCTCTCTCTGTCCTTCAAACAAACAAGCAAACAAAGTTAAATAAAACAATTCTTTTTAAAAGAATTAACTTTAACTTTGTTTATTTCAATTTGACCAGAGAGGGACAGAGTGAATGAGTGAGAGAGACAGAGAGAGAGAAATCAAGCAGCCAGGTCCGGGACTCGAACTGCAGTTGGCTATGTAATCCAGTGCCTTTAACCACCACACCACCTGCTGGCCCCAAATAAAATAATTCTTAAAAAAAATAAAGTATAGCATAGGGCCAACCAGTGGCATGGTGGTTAAGGTAGCTGGATCCCACATGGTCCACTGCATAGTTTGAGTTCTGGACCCAGCAGCTTGAGAAACACACAGCACGTGTGTACATCCGTGTCTCCAAATTCCTGAGAGAAGAATGGATGAGAAGGGATTGCAGAGCAACCATTCCCCCTGGGGGTTGCAATCTTACTGCCATATTGCAAATTGGGGGCGGGGAGTCTAGCATATATGATTATATATAGGATATAATAATTGATAATAAATGGGTGTTCCTAATGTGTTTACTATGCTGTATATTGTATCATTAGTGTATTCCTGCATACTAGAAGAAGAAGTGTAGGGACCAGCAGGTGGTGTAGTGGTTAGTTAAGGTGCTGGACTCCCACATGGCTGACCAGGGTTTGAGTCCTGGACCTGGTGGCTTGCTTTCTCACTCTCTCTCTATCTCTGGTGAGCGTGTGTTTCCTATTCCAAACTTAAAAATAAATAATTAAATCTTTAAACAAAGAAGCTTAAACACTATGTTGCATAACACCAGCAGCTGCCTCATAGTTCTTATGTTTACAACTCCTTTTTTTAAAAAAACTTTATTTATTTATTTATTTTAATTTGACCAGAGAGGGAAAGAAAGCAAGCTGCCCGGTTTGGGACTTGAACCACGGTTGGCAATGTGGGAGTCCGGCGTCCTTAACTACCATGTCACCTGCCGGCCTATTTACAATTCTTGATGGCATCATTTCCTCACGTTTCATTTAATCTCATACTGTTTAGAAAGTATGCAAGCATGCAAGTACTATGCATT